AACTTTATTTATTAGGATGCAATTTTCGAATTGCAGACCTACTGTCGTCCGTCTGTTTGTCTGTCCTTCCTTAATCTTGAATTAGATAGATGAAAATCGAGATCGAATTTGGAGGACTTATATCCCGATTAACTAAATAACAGATGACAGTTTTGAAGAAGACATTTGGCAATAATTATATCATAATTTTAAATTATACTAACATTATCATTAAATTGAGATTATGTGTTAAAGTAATTCATCAAATACAAAATGAACCTTTAAAAGACAATTGTATTTTCTGATAATATAAAACAATCAAAAAATAAAGGCCAAAAGTAACGTTACATGTACAGTACTTAAAGACTTGAAATTGGGTTGAATTTGGATGAATTACACCGAATTTATCTAAATTTGGTGGTCACACACGCAAATTATTTCAGCGAAATCTGTTTTAGAAATGTTTTGGAATGTTAAAAATCGTTTTAGACCCTTGATAACTCTCAGCTTGTATATAGACCCAATATCTGAAAGTTTAATATACAAACAATTTTGTCCTTTATCAGAAAATTAATCAATATAAACTATTTTACTGATTTAAAAAAATTGTTTGGATGTTAAATGCCATTTAAAGTTTAATTAAAATAGAAGTTAAGAAAGCCAATGATTTTTGCTCTGTAGATCTATCATTTGCACTATTCTATTACAAATTAAATAATTTTCTAATTAATTCAATTTTACATATTTTAAACAGTTTGTTTTCTTTTGTAAACAATAAAGATAACATACGAAAGAAACGTGACATGTCACAACATGATCGTGTTTACGTGTGATTAATTGAATGATAGGTTTAATTGAAGAAGAATTGACATGACAGTGGCGCGTTATCCTATGGGCAAAAAAAGGCTACTGCCTGGAAACCACCAACAGCGACCCCAAACCAATCTTTTATAAGAAAATATTTCCCAAAAAATTCCTCCGAAAAAAAATGTCAGTACAGTACAGTACGTGGGGCCTCCTAATTTATATTTGCTTGTGCCTCATGAAGCTATACGCATGGATTTTTTTTTTTACTGAGTCATCATTTTCCTATTCATAAATTAGAAAGTTACAAGAATAAAACATAGAAGAGGAATAATTTACATAAGAAATTTTAAAAAGATTGATTTAGAATAAATTGCAAAATTTACACTATTGACTTCATTGACATAAAAATTACTTCTAAAATAATTCGATTAAATTCAAATCATTTTATATTTAATTTTTATAAATATCAACTTAATTAGAAATTTTCTTATTTTAAATTACAAATAGCCTATATTACTTATATTTTATAAAAATTTATCAAATAATAGTTGCCTGTTCGTTATTAATATTTCAGCAAGACGAATCAATATAGTAGCATTTTTCTCCTGATAACTTAGAATATGAACGATAAATGTAGAGAACAATTTAGACAAAATAATCCTAAAAGAAGAAAAAGATAAAAGGTGTAAAGTAATAAGTCATACTAGCTAATTATACTAAAATAAATTAATATACTAAACAGAATATAAACATTTGGAATTTTTCATCACCTTTTATTTTTATAAAGCATATTATTAAATTTGACCTATAGGCGATAAATATATTAATTCTGCCTTGAAAACATTAATACAAACTAAGGTGTAAGCATTATTCATTTTATTATTATTATTTTATAATTTTATTTCTTTCCAAAGAGATTTACTTAAATAAGACGTTATAATCTTAATAATTTTAAAGATAAATTAAAATAATAAATAATAATCTTAAATTATAAAGATAAAATCAAGTTATCTTTAAAATTCTTTGCATAGGCTTATTAAAATTTATTCAAAATTACCATAGAAATAATAGAACCATAGAATCTAAAAAATAATTAAAAATTATAAATATTCGTTGTTTTTCTCTATGATTAATTTTATCATTTTGTCATGCATATTGTAATTTAAAATGTAATATTTTCGATAAAGTTAACACATGAGAAATCCGCACTTTCCACTAAAAATAATATAGAAATAAAAAGTAACTTATATGTTTTTTCCCCCTCCCTCTGTCATTTTTTTTTCACGGAGGTTCATTCCGATTCTATTTTTATTATTTTATTTTTAAAGAAGTTGAACCAAGTCTAAAGTAGTTCAAATTTGGCTCAACTTTTTGTTCTTCAAGTTTTCTGTTTTAAATTATTTCCATTGTAAAAAAAAAGAAAAAACAACACAAAACTAATAGTGTAAAAGCTAACTTAAATTGTCCCTACACCATAGAGATGTATTTGTAGAACCGATAACAATTAACTAAAAATTCAATTAGTATATAAAATTCGATACCTTCAAAGTAATTACAAAAATGTAATTAGACATTGCATTTTTTTATTTTTAATTACATATTTTTTAAATCAGAATACTCAGACTATTATTTTGGGTATTAAATTATTAATATACCAATTATAATTTATTTCTTATCTAATCATATATAATCAAATCTTTTCTATCTTTAACACTTGGCAATAAATTGCAGTTAGGTTCATGCTTCATTTGATTATACTCGCATACTTGAACTTTTTTGCTTTTCTAGATCACGGATAAGCGATTATCTCAACGAACCAAATGATCATTTAATGTCCTTCTTTCATGATTGACAGCGCATTTTCCATTAATGTTTCTCATTAACAGAAAAAGAATGGTTTTGTTTAATTGTCTACTAACATACCTGAAATTTGAAACACGATTCGGTAATAAATCAATCTTTTTTCAATAGAAGACAATTTCATTTTTAATGAAACAACTTTATCTGAAAAAAAACATGAATATGAAATGTAAAAAGTATTCAGGCTGTAAAATATAACAAAAACTAGATAAAAATGTATCCTTACTCTGGTAAGAGATGAAACATAAACGATTATAAAATAATTAAAAATTTAATAATTACTAGCACTATTTATTATATTTAAATAGTTAAAATATTCAATTCTTTCAGAAATTCAAAACTTATATTAAATATTTCAAGAGTTATAACCAATTATTATAACAGGATACTATACTGAAATAAATTTACATGCTTCTATTAAATGTTATTACACTTAAAATATATTAAAATAAATTGAACAATATAGATTTGACATACCCTTAGTATATTGGGCTATTACTATTGTTTATTGGGATGCAATTTTCAAATTGTAGATCTATAGATTCCCACTTTCGTCCGTTTGTCCGTCCGTTATTCGTTAATCTCGAGAATACAGTTAGGTAGATGAAAATCGAGACCATATATTGAAAGTTTATATTTCGATGAATTATATACGAACGTTCGGTCTGGACCGGAAATCACGTGATTTTTTAAATTAAAACATGATTAAAAATTGTAACCAGGCATTGTGACGATGTCAGAATAACTCGAGTTTTTCAAACACTTAATTTTCTGTTTTCCCATTCAATATACAAAAATATTAACTTAAAACAAACTTTTAGAAAAAATTTTGCGATACATATTCCCTATCATTTGTCATCCAATTGACAAGACAATGAGGATGTTCTGCAATTACTCCAGATTTCGAATGTTATTGCTGTTACCATAGCGACACATTTGGAGGCATAGATAGGGTGGAGACATACTACTGACCACTCTGACCAACTGAATCTTGAATTAGTTGTAACTTGAACAATGTCACGAATCATTTTGATTGTTTTCACCTTCTTGTTGTTGGGAATTGTGGCCCATATTTTAGCCACAAAGGGATTTTATGGTACTGCTCTTTATAGAAAGGATCGCATATTACCTATAGATCCACTTTTAAATGTTACGGGTGTTTCTTTAGTAGAATGTTTAGTAATTTGTCGGGACAAACCGGAATGTAAAGCTTTTAATTATGGTAAAAGTAATTGTTTATTGCTTTCTTCCACTCTTTGTGACAAACAAAATATATACTTGCGTGAAACAGTTGGATATAATTATTATGATTTAGCGGACTATCCTTCAATTGAAGTAAGTTTACAATTAAAAACAAATATGTGTTTCATTTTAATTAAACATTATTTCAAATGGATCTGTTTTGTTAATTATAGAGAGAAGGGAAAACATGGGGACAATATCAATGTACAAAACAAGGAAAGTGTGCCACTCATTGTTTGCGTAAGTATTTGCATTTGTTTTATAATCTCGAATTTTATACTCACTAATTGTTATTCTCTTTCATAAACAGCTAAGTTTGTCATACATTACGACCATCAATCGTGGCAAAAAGCTCTTGAACTTTGCCACGATCAGAAATGCTCTCAATTGGCAATGCCTCGAACTCTTGAAGAAAATGAACAACTGACACAGCTACTACTAAAAGAAAAAGGGAATTTCTGGATTGGAGTAACAGATACTGAAGTTCAAGGTAGTTATCGATATTATGCTGATCTAACTCCTATAAATCCTCAATTTAGATACGTATGGGCACCCGGGCAACCAAATAATCTGAGCAATGAGAATTGCGTTTTGTTAAAAGAGGAAACTGAAATGAAGTGGCACGATGCTAACTGCAACACGGCTAGCAACTTTGTTTGCCAATGTTATTAAAATTTGTTTATTAATTATAATTATTTTACTGAGAAAATCATAAAAGAATATAGGATTATAAATATATAAATCGACTTTCTAATTTAAAACTATTAAATTAATGGCACAACGATTGTTATCCAGTACAAAAAAAAAAAAAAAAACACAAGTAAAATTAATTTTAATAGTTAAAACATAAAAAGAAACTGTAAATGTTTTAATATTTAATTTGACAATTTGACTTTAAAAAAATGAATTTTAACAATATAAGTTTAAATGTTACAAAGTCTTTTATCAAGTTTTTCAAAAACAAGCACAAAAATTGTAGTTTCTTATAGATTTTCTGAACAAGAAACTTGTTCATAAATAAGTATTATTTAGAAATGTATACAAATATAGAAAAAAATAGAAAATAAAAAAGATAATTGAAGACTAAACGAAGTATTTATTGTAAAGCCTACATATTCCCAGAATAATTTTCAAACGAATTCATTATTTTCAACTGTTTATTTTTTGTTTCCATCTCTTCGAATCTACGTTTCAGTCTAAGAAGCTGGGCTGAATTACGTTTCTATATAAAAACATTAATAACAACATATTTATTAGTGATATATTATTAAACTAAAAAAACAAAAAAATTATAATAAAAAAATTACTTACATATAGAACTGAAATTTCGTTTTGGAGTAACTGTTTCTTAGTCTTATTTTCTGCTATCTGAAAAATTATTTTTCTTTTTATAAACCAAGAATAATACTTAAATAAACTTTTATAAGAATGGTTTTACTTAATATTTATCTAATTTAATTAAAAAAATTTGAACAAACGATAATAATTTTTAAAATATTTTCTACTAAAAATTGCAAAAATATATAATTTTTTTAAAAATATAAAATATCTCTATCGACAAATAATTCATGCTTTTATATTAAAAAAAATTAGTTATTTAACATGTACCGCACCTGCTTTTCTTTATATGCAATTTCTTTTTGAATAAATTCTTTCTGTTCGTTTAATTTAGCGATATCGTATTTTAGAATCTTAATTTTTTCATCAATTATACCATTACATTTCAACTGTTTGAAATTTTCGCAATCAAATTCTGAAATATATACGAATGTAATTTTATATTAAATCAATAAAAAAAATTTATTAATTATATTTTTACGCGTTACATACTTTGCTTTTTTAGCTGGGCTATCCTGTTTCTATATTCTTTTACTTCGACAAATAACTTATGATTTCTTTCCATTTCTTCTACTTTACGTTTATAATTTTCTATTTTTTCATCGGTAATTTTAAATTTTCTGATAAATAATTTTATTAAATTATTTATTATAAATTCAAAATAATTAAAATAAATATTTTATGNCCCCCCCGCGTTGGAATTTCGAAAAATCCTTTCTTAGTGTGCGTTTCCATGACGTACCCTAACTGTGTACCAAATTTCACCTCTTTAGGTTAAGCGGTTTGCTCTGGGCGATGATGAATCAGTGAATGAATGAGTGAGTCAGTCAGGACAAGCAATTTTATATATTTAGATAACTAATAGACTAATATAGTAAATATAAAAATATAATTTTTAATATTATTTAACTAAAAATTCGTATGATAACAATTCTATATTATACTAATTTTCTTCATTTCAAAACAATAATTTCTCATACGTTTTTTGATACGTAACATTGCAAAAACCGAGTGAATTTTCGTTTTATATTTGTGATTTTTACTTTCCTATTGGAACACAAACCATTAACATCTAAACCTCATAATCAACTAAATAAAGTACAATTATTTATTTAGTGCGGTTGACCTACTTCGTTTATTTAATTAAATTAGGAGAGTTTTCATATGTGCATGATTTTATTTATATTAACTTTATGAAGTATACACGCTTAATATAACTGATAGAAAAATATTATTTTTAAAGAAAAATATTTAATAATTGCTATTTTATAAATTTCCATGTTTATAAAATTTGAAATTTGTTTTAAAAAAAAGATCATTTCGTTGTTCTGATATTCATGTAAATACGAAATTAATGTTAGACTAAACTTTATAGAAAACATTAAAATAAAAGTAATTTAAAAAGAAAATAATATAGATGTACATTTTAAAACATTTTTTTGACACGCATTATCCATAATATAACATGATATAATGTATAACTGATGAATTTACTATATTGTACATGAAACAATGTGGAGAATTATCCAAAATTTCAGTTTTCTAAAACAGAAAGTTATATTTATTCAATTTAGGTTAGACAAATAGGCCTACATCCAGCAAATTTCTCACGAGAGCGAACAAAATTTTATCTGATATAGATAAAAGTGTGATAAGGTGAATATTAATGATGTCAAAGGTAGAAGTGAATTACCCTAAAAACGAACTAAGCACATGATAGAGCTCCGAGCTTAAAAATCCAAATAGAAATTATTATAAGCCTATAGTAAAATTTGTTAAGAGTCCATTTGTTAAATGAAACATTCAAAGAATCTCGAAATTAGCCGGAGCATATTTCTAATTTTTGCTACTGATCTGTTACTGGTCAAAGGCAATACTATTTTATTTTCTTGTTAAATCATCAAATGGCTGCATTATAAGATTGTTCTTACCAGAATGAGGACTCCACGACGGTCGGAATTCTTACGATTTTTCACGAAAAATACGGAGCAAATATTTTTTTTTCTCATTCATGCAGGCTAACTCCATAACAGGCAAAATTGAGATCATTATACAGGGAGAGTCACTTAACTTTTTCATCTCTGATAACGTTTTAAGTGTTGTTGCTACATAAATACATAAAGAAATAACATAAAAACATCAGACATTTTCATCGATATCCTTTGGTTTTCATCTGACGTATTTTATGTAGCAATAACAGCTAATACGCTATTTGAGGCGAAAAAGTTAGATGACTCACCCTGTATAGTAGCTGATGATGTATACAGTACTTTATCTCGCGTTGAAATTAAACAAAATTTCTCACAATAAGAATTGCTTTCAGTATTGTTATCATAATTGAATTTAAGGCATTTCTCGTCACGAAATAGTAAACCTACTTAAAGAAAAATTTCCAGATATATTATTTATATATATCACTAGATAGGTCTGTGAGCAGTATTTTAAAAAAATATATATTTTTTCATAACGTAGTTTATTAATTTTTACAATATTGTACTGTACATAGTTAAATACAGTAGAAAAAAATTGAACCGGCGCAAAATAAATATAAGTTGTATACAATATACTGTTGTATTTTAATTTTATTCGTTAGTCCGTCTGTCTTTCCTTAACATAGAGAACGGAGTTAGATAGATCAAAGACGAGACAAAATATGGAAAACTTAAGTGCAGAAGGCCCTGATTAACTATATTATATTAACTTCGATGCAAATCGGGAGTTACGTCAATTCAGAAATTTCCTCTGAAAGCAGTTAATAGATGACCGTCACGACTACATTGTTAAAGGAAAAAGTATGATGTACTGTACAGGGGCAAGACACTAGACTAGAGTACTAATTTGAGATGGAAAGAATATATTTTAAATGAAATAAATTAAAAATATGATTAAAAATTGAAATCCGGTTTTGGGACGATGTCACAATAAATAATTATTCTTTAAAATTTTTAATTCTTTCTAAATGGGCGAGGTTAAACCCTCAAAACCTTTGTAAACTTATCACTAAAACCATACAGTTTTTCGAACAAAGATGTTTCCATTCTAGAAAAAGATCTTTTTCGAATTCAATATTACCTACTGTGCAGCTTACTTGTTCGAATGATGATAATTGTTTGAGAAACGAAGTTGTTTCCCTATTAATTTTAAATATATAAAAAAAATATGTAACTGAAATAGAAATATGTGATAATAAAATACGATTTCACGTGTCCTTCTGAAACGAAATTAGATTTTCGTAAGGAAATCAGAAAGAATTTTCAAAACTTAAACGAGAAACACGAATAAGGAAATAGTAGCCTAATTGAGTTTAATAATTACTGATAAAATTAGAGATTTTCAATGAAAGAAAAATGGATTCTTTTTGAATAATAAACCAACTAAAACTGTTAATTGCAAAAGTGGAGTTATTAATTAAAGTAACAAATGACTGAAAAAAAACAGAGGCAGAACATTTATATGTTTCAGAGCATTTTCAATTTGATATGTTTTTATCATCAAACTTCTTTACTGTTTTTATTTTTTTTTGAATCTAGTACCGAGGTCCATCTTGCGAACACGCCTACGCCTCAACCTTGCAGGTCTGTTATTTAAATCATTGTTATTAGATTTATTCTATATATGTAAAGATCTCAAAGTTCACAGAGCGAAGAGTTAAATATATACATAAAACTCATCTCTCCCGTGGACGTTAAAAAGATTTTTTCATATCTACTACGGGTTATGCCAAATCTAAAGTAGTCTGGCATAACCTGATACAAGATAGGCCCGAAATATCCAGATCAAACAATCGCAAAAATTTCCAAGGATCCGACTTCGATTCGAATTCAGTTCACAGATATTCAAGCTGACATCTTTTAGCATTTGGCTCACGGTATATAAAGATAAGGGGCTATCCTTAAATTACGTCCGCATTCTTCTTGAAATTTTTACTCCCTTTCACCCCATTGTTCCAGTTTGTCCACGTTTCCGTAACCTCCTCCCCTCCTCGGCCATGGAAAACCGGAAAACTCCACGTGGCCAAACTTACAGTGTTCAGGGAACAGAACCGCTTGGCCACTGGTGGGCCACTTTATGTTTTGTATCCTTTAGTTTAAAATTACCTACTTTAATTTCCTTTTTTTGTATCCTTTACTTTAAAATTTCAAACGAAACTTTTTAAACCACATTTGACAAGTTCTAAGTTTAAGAGCATCTTTCACATACACATTATAATTTTTTTTTACTGTTTATACGGCGTTATATCCTTTTCGGAACTCATAAAGTATAAGCCAGACATGCTTTTTGTCGAAGACGTTACAACTTGATATTATTTAAAGAAAATGTGAAGTAAAAAATTTAAAGCAAGCTTCTAAATAAAATAAATTATTCACTTCTATATGTTAACTTTCACAACTGTTATAATTAAATCACACATCTAGGTTAAGATGCCGAAGCCCATGGTGTATGATCAATAAATGCATTTTTTATTTTATTATACAGTATTTTATTTATGGTTTTCATGTTTTAATTCATTATTCGGACATTTAATTCTGTTATTTTTACCTTAAATTATGTGAATTTGCTGTTTTAAGTTTATCGAAATGGGTATTGTTCAGGGTCTGGAAATGGATTAATTCGATTAATTCACTTTCCATTCTTTCTTATGGGAAAATCGATTCAGACTTCGAACGATTAGGAGTTCGAACGACCTCCTGAAATGAATTAAATTCGAAATACGAGGCACCATTGTACCTGAAGAAATTTTCACTTTAGCCTAGAACAAAGACATAACTGTCGATAAGATAATTAAAACCTTTAATTGTTTTGAAATTTATTTATACATTGAAGTGCAAATGAATAACTAAACATAAATCTTTACTGTCTATTAGTAGCCAACTGAAATTTCTCTTGAAGTATACAATATAATTCAATTTTCAGAACAAATCCAGAACGTTTTAAACATGGTTCTGGTTTTTGTAAGAATATTTCGGCATTATCCGGTAACTTTTAGAATTATTACTATTTAAAAATCCTTCATTTTTCTAATTTTGGCTCTTTCCGAAAATAAAGAAGGCAATAAGAGAGCAAGTCACAATGGGGCGATCAAGTAGTAAAGAATGGAGCCCGACATATCTGAGGTAGAGAACCCTCCTAAAAATTCCTACGATTGCTCGCCCGTATTCGATCACAGGTTTCTCAGAGCGATACACTGACGCCTTATCCCACTTCGGCCATACGGCCATCAAAAATCTTTGTTTGAAAAATAATTCCTAACAGCTTCAATTGATCGTTTCTATAATGATTATGCCAAGATGTTGTGAAGGAAATAAAAGTCGGCTTTATTATTCTTGATGTCGTCTAAATATGGCTTGGTCAATCTGTCTCCTATTCTATAAAAGAGCGGAAGCAAACAGATCCAAAGGATAGCTATCTACATTCGTATTGTATTGTCACGGAAGTACTGTACGTATATCCTAGGAACCAACCCTTACCTGACTGGTCAACATTCATTTCTTAAATCGAGACGGAGAGTGGAAAATGACGACTTTGGATGAATGAAAAAGATTCTCAACACTTGGGTATAATATTTGTTTAACTAACAGGCCAGCAAGGCTTGGGGAGTAGGCAGGTTTGGCCAAGAAAAACCTCTGAGTCAGATAAAAAATAAGTTTGTTATGCATAAAAAAATAAAAACTAAAATTACGAAGGTTCAAATCTACATCAGTGACTAGCATCTCACGACACGATAAGAATTGAAATTTCCAAAGACCTGTAAGCTAAATACTCAATTTTCAGAGGCCCGTTTCTCGGAAACGCTTGAGAAGTGGGTCCTATTATTTGGACAAGGAACTGTTTGTGTTTAGGGCTACGTGCTTACCAAGTTTTATTCGAATCGAAAACCCGAACATCTGACCGTCTCTTTGTTAGCTCAACACAATTATATTTATTGATAGGAATTATATTCAATCTGGCATCAAGATCTTTGAACTCCGTTCCGCCCCCTCTTTCTTCGCATAATTTGTGCCATTCGATATCTCATTAAATTCAAAACCTTTGCTAAAAGATTTTTTTGACCTAATTTTTTTAAATAGTCAGAAATTCTGTTTATATTATTACTTCCTTTATATAGAAATAAGTATTTAGAAGTAGAAATGAATAGTATTTACGTGTGAAGTATCCATTAAATTTATAATTTATTGAAAAAGTCGTTTTGATTTTATCGTTTTTTAAAAAAATAGCATTTTAATAATTTCAAAAACAAAATGCATGTACTGTTAGACCTACATATAAATTCTATTTGTTCTCGAGATGAAGAAGAAAATCATCTTGAAAATAGATTTATAATTTAGGATGAAAATTAAATAAAAACAGAAAATTTTCACTTTATTTCTTTTAATAATTTCTAAAGAAAATATATGAAATTTTTCTGTATTTTTTAGGAATCTTTCTCTTTTCTATGAAAACATTATTAAACTAGCATTCTTTTAAACGATTCAAATAATGAAATATTAATTATAAAAATATGATTTGTACGCATTAATGTTAAAGAAATAATCATTTTATTTTTCTTTTGTTTATGTTATGTTAAAATTTATAATAAAAAAGTCAAACCATTTTTAAGTGTATTATTTTTATGTTCTTCAGTGGAAACGTCATCTTCAATAGAACTAATTCGTCTGCTTATATTGGCAATTTCACGATAATATTTATCTACATCACGCTGAGCTAAATAAAAATAAAATAAGCTATGAAATAATCACAATTTAAAAAATAAAAGTATAATTTTGGAAATTAAATATAAACAAACGATAAAATTTCATTTTTCAAAAATGGATTATTGAATAAAACATAAGCCATATTTTCATATAAGCCTGTAATAATATATATAGACATAGATATCTATATCTATATCTTTAGATATAGTAGATATAGATATAGATAATAATCTATATCTATCTATCTATATACAGTATATATAGATTTATTTTAGGCCTATATGAAAATATGGCTTATTTTTTTATTTATTAAACAAGCCATTTTTGAAAAATGTAATCGTTTATTTACCGTATATTATTATATTTGTTTCAAAATATCTAAATATATATGTATGTGTGGCAAACGGTTCTATACCATTCAGAGTATCCTCATCAAATTTGGCATGAGTATTCTTTGACACCCTAGAAAAAATAGCCCTAAAACCTACTCCCAACCACCCTAAAGTCTACCCCCTTTTAATGTACTGTAAATTTGTTAGATAAAGGGCTCTGTACCACTCGATATATTCGCACCAAATATGGCCTGAATATTCTTTGAAATCCTAGAAAAAATATTGTAGAGTCTCACCCCAAAACACCCTTAAATCTCACTCTCACTTAACTTTAGCCCGAGCAAATTTTTGTGTTTTGCCATATCATTATTGTAAATACTAAGGTCAATATATATACATTTTAGTTACTAAGACAATTGTTTTTTACACCCTCTCCCACCTCACCGATTCTCCATCCCCTCAAAAGCCCGAGCAACGCCGGGCACACGCAGTTATTTTAATAAATTTAAATTAACAATAGATACTATTAAAAAGATCGAGGTTTTAAAAAGAGAAAACGTAAATTATAGTATTTTAATTATAAATTATGAATATTATACTCACCCCAAATAACTTTCTTCTGCGTGTATACAGTAGTTAATATGAAAGAAAAAAATATAATTAAAATAAAACAGTAATAACTTAATATTTATTATAAACGTTAATAAAATAACATATTTCTTGATTATATGTAATATAATATTTATATTTCTAATTATATTCAACAGTAATTTAACTATTACATATTAAATTTAATATTTATTATGCAATTAAGAAGCCGATTAGCCTATATCTTGTTCAAAGCTAATAATTATCATACAATATTAATTCGAATTATTAATAAAAACTATTTAATCATTGTAAATATCTCTGAATATATTAATTTCTTTGAATAATTGCATAAGATTAATAGAAATGAAGCATGTTAAAAGTATTTACAAATGAATAATTTTTAAATTATTCAACATAAATAAGGCTTTGACTAATCAACAACAAACCGTCAAAATAAGGACGATAAATAAATAATAAAAGTTTGGTTAACATTTATTAAAGCTATATTTCTCTAATGACAACAACTGTCATTGGATCTCTTGTTGTTGACAATAACAAGATCCAATTTTACTATTTCATTCGACTTAACTTATTAAAATGAATATTTAATATATTAATTTATAATTAAATTTAATATCTCGAATATTATATAATTTCAATATAATTACAAGGTATATATTTTGAAAACAATTAAAACTTATGTTCTTATTTTTTCAATCGCAGATATTTCCATTTTATTTTTAAATTCTCACAAGAGATTTTATAATTTTTAAAAATAATTTTATTCTGTCAATAAAAAATATATTTTAACGAAAACTTTTATTAAAGTTATTATCATTTATTTATTATTTTATTTAGAAGAATAACGATAAGAAGAAATTTATATTTTATTGGGCTGAAATTTTTAAATTACATATCTATAAATTCTCACTGTCACCCACAGTCTGTCCTTCCTAAAATCGCCATTAAATCCGACCTTACTCGAGGTATGACACAAGATCCCTTTTATTCTTCTCACCAAGTCGACCTTTAACTACTAAAATATTAGTATAATTTCCCCTAATATACAAACTTCCTTGAAAAATTTCAGAAATTTTCCACAAAAATCAGAGGAGTTATTAAGCTTCAAGAAGTGAACAAAATCGTGCCCCCACACAAATTTACATCCATACATATAGAAACACCGCGAATTTTTTGCATTTCTCGACGTTTCAAGGTCCTCCGAATACAAAAATGTAAAAATCTTGGAGGTCATTTTTAACCGATCGCTATACTTTCCTTCTGTTATATTGTATAATGTATATAACAACCATTTTTATATTATAACTTACTTTAAATTTTTATAACTCTTTTAGCATTTATAATGGTTTAATACAGTGGTTCTTAACTAGGGGTCTGTGGGCTTGGAAGAATAAAATCAAATTATCTTAATTTGGTATTATTGTGTCAAAAGTTTAATTTTTGTATTAAGAAAGAAGCACATGTATTACTATATCGTATGTTTTTTTTTTAATAAATGTATAATATTTTTATATAACTAGTTTCTTCTGTAATTGTATGTATTTGAAAACATTATTCCGAGAGGGTTTAGTGACCTTCACCTGAACGGGTCCACAGAACAAATACGGTTGAAAATCCCTAGTTTAACATAATCTAAATATATAAAATTGCTTGTCCTGACTGACTCACTCATTCATTCACTGATTCATCATCGCCCAGAGCAAACCGCTTAACCTAAAGAGGTGAAATTTGGTACACAGTTAGGGTACGTCATGGAAACGCACACTAAGAAAGGATTTTTCGAAATTCCAACGCGGGGGGGTGAGGGNTTTTGGCATCATAGGTAACATTAACCACAGTATTTTTAAAAATTAAACTCAAACTTTCTCCTAATGAAGCAATATTCAAATAAATTGTATTTAAAGTTCAGTCACGTTGAATAATAATAATAATAATAAAGAAAATAAACCTCAATATTTTCTAAGATCTTTTCGTGATGTTCGATGTTATTATTAAGCGAATCTTGCAATTCTTCAAACTTTTTAACTTCTTCGGGCAATTTAAATAATTGTTTAATTGAATCTTTTATATCCATCATTAAAATGATTTTCCAGCAGCAACAACAAAATGGCGTCTGATTTTAATTTTATAGCGACATCTACAGGAGTTAATTGTAAAATAATTAAAATTTCAAATATTTATTGATATTTTAAATTCAATATTTTTAATTTTCAAATGATTTAAATATATATAAAAATATTTAAAATTTTTACAAATGTATTTAAATATTGCATTTCTAAAAAAAAAACTCTTCTACTTCAGATGAATAAAATAAAACCACACTATAAAAAAGCATTGTTTTTTTTTAATATTCAATATCACACTGTTTATTTACAGTTAAACAAATACAGTTAATTCCATTCATTCAGAAAACTTGTCTGAAACAACTTACTTATGACCACTTTAACTTATAATTACATATTTTAATATCACTTCAACATATTAAATTGTTGTTTTATATCAGGATAAAGCAATAAAATATTTTTTTTCTCTTCATTTCTTTATAAATGAGAATATGCAGATATACAATAATTTTACACATTACATAACAGTATTTTCATATTATATAACAATTAGCCAAAATATATATATATATATATTTTTTAATATGGAGAATATTGACTTTGTTTAGCTGAATTTTATCCACATTTAAGGATATACCATTCATTAAACATACCAATGCCAATTAATTTTGGCATGTTTAATGAAATTTAAAGAATGCATCAAAATACATGATTGGAGTGTGGATTTGTGCCGGTAGGTATATTTGCATAGATGTTCTACAATACAGTTTTCTTTTTTTTTACATACAGAATTACATTTCACATTGTAACATTACACATATACTGTATATTTATTTACAACAGATTTAACTCTAAAGCCGTGATTATATTATTATTAATTGAAAATCAATAAAGAAAATGAAAATTACAGTAAAATATTAACTGATTGTACATAATTTTTGTAGTCTAAGTAAAACATTAAAGAAATTTAAATAGATATAATAGATTATAGTTTCAAAATCAGAAATATGATTATGTTTTGGGATAATTCTTTTAACAACTGATGGAAGTATGTAATTTAATACTTAAAACTTGGCTCTAGATTGCACCAAACACACAAACTGTATTTGAAATTGATGATGATATGATGTTGTTGTTTAATATATCCCTCAACACAATAATATTCTTGTTTGAATTGACTATATGAATGATACTCATTAAAATTTGCACATCTCATTATTGTAGAAAAAAGTTGCTTGGAACCATTTCTCAGTTATTAAAAGATATATTCTAATAAATAATATTTATAAACATAAATTTTCAGAATATTAATATCATAAAATATTTATTATTGATTTAAATTGATATGCTTTGAGCTAAATATTTATTTTACACGCATTTCTTTTTATTAAATAATTCAAATTTATAAGTAGTTTTATAAACTAGATCATATTATATTTTAAACTGAATAACATTTTCTCAAAAATAAATGCAAAAAAAAAACAAACAAACAATTACATCAAAAATATTTAAAAATCAAACTAAATAAAAATTATTTAATTTTAACAAATGATTTTATAGAATAAATAATAATACAAAAATTAACTAATATTATATGGATAAATAAAAAAACTTTATACATATATATTCTTTTAAATTAATGCTTTATATTTGGATAATAATTTTATGAATTCTTATAAGAAAAATTATATATATTCACATTTACTTCCTGCATACCTCAATATATAAAACTGGAAATCATTAATGAATTTGTAATAAAATTCAAAGTTGTTTTTTCTTTTCCTCTAGCATTAAGTACTATATGATATCAATTTCAATAGTTCTTAAAACAAATTATTTTATTTATAATTTTTCAAATTGTTTATACTTAAAAGTATAACAATATAAAACATTTATCAGACCAATAACATATTCTCTCTTAAAGTAATAACTATAATTACAATTAGAAAAATTATGTATTATTTCATTCATATACATATGAATATCTTTGAAACAATTAAATACATTGCAAATTCATACAAAAAAAATTAGCAAAATCTGATTATTAATTCATAATTTTTTTTAAAAAGAGGATTGATATTAATTGTTCAATATTAATTTGTTAATAAAGACATAATATGAAATTATTGTGCATATATTGTTACAAGAAAACAGAATAATTATGTAGAAATATTAAAAATGATAAAATTGTCTATAATACTTTCACTCTGTTACTTTCATTTTATGTTAATAATCACTTTTATATATGTAATTTTGTTCAAAATTATATTTCAAAATCAACCTGAGTTATGACTGGTTATTTATTATGAATGATAAATATTATGAAATATTTAAAATACTTAAAAATATAAATGTCTAAAAGTGAAGATGAATGTGTTGATGAAAAATTCTTCAAGACTTATAATGACGAATACTTCTCATTATTCCACTCGTTTTAGGACTCTGTACATCAAGACTTTTAAAGCCCAGAAATATCAATATTTAGCAATTACATGGAGAACTATTACATCCAGAAAGCAGATATTTCTGCTTTGAAAAATAATTTTTAATACCATTTTAAACATTTTATTACAGTTCATCTGTCTCCATTTGCATCACTAGAATGTGTAGGATGTGGATCAACCTAAATAAATATATAATAAAAAGTTTATTAAAATTTTCTTGAAATTCAAAATGGAATGGATTATATAATGTTAAGTTTACTTAGTATAAAATATTCAGTATAGATTTAGTAAATATTTATTTAGAAGATTGTATTCAATTCATAATTGCAAAAACATTTTAAAATAATTTAGATATTAATGACTAAACAGATAAATGTTGAAAGTTAAAATCAAAATTGCAAAACAAGTTTTGTCCTACAATTTTAGTTCTAACTTTTCAAAATATGCTTAGAAATATAAGCCAACTTTGTTTAAATTTTGAAAATTTCATTTAGTTTAAGTACATATTATTGCACTTGTTTTATAAAAACAACAATTTCTGATTAATCACAAATATTTATTCTCAAAATGGAAATAGAATTCATTAACTCAATAAATAAAAATAGGAAGCATTACAGAACTTACAAAGCCATATAATGTTAAAAAATTAATTTTATAATGAATGTTTATGAAATTGATTTAATAAATATGACATCAAATCAATATTTGTTATATATTTAGTNGATAAGAAGAAATTTATATTTTATTGGGCTGAAATTTTTAAATTACATATCTATAAATTCTCACTGTCACCCACAGTCTGTCCTTCCTAAAATCGCCATTAAATCCGACCTTACTCGAGGTATGACACAAGATCCCTTTTATTCTTCTCACCAAGTCGACCTTTAACTACTAAAATATTAGTATAATTTCCCCTAATATACAAACTTCCTTGAAAAATTTCAGAAATTTTCCACAAAAATCAGAGGAGTTATTAAGCTTCAAGAAGTGAACAAAATCGTGCCCCCACACAAATTTACATCCATACATATAGAAACACCGCGAATTTTTTGCATTTCTCGACGTTTCAAGGTCCTCCGAATACAAAAATGTAAAAATCTTGGAGGTCATTTTTAACCGATCGCTATACTTTCCTTCTGTTATATTGTATAATGTATATAACAACCATTTTTATATTATAACTTACTTTAAATTTTTATAACTCTTTTAGCATTTATAATGGTTTAATACAGTGGTTCTTAACTAGGGGTCTGTGGGCTTGGAAGAATAAAATCAAATTATCTTAATTTGGTATTATTGTGTCAAAAGTTTAATTTTTGTATTAAGAAAGAAGCACATGTATTACTATATCGTATGTTTTTTTTTTAATAAATGTATAATATTTTTATATAACTAGTTTCTTCTGTAATTGTATGTATTTGAAAACATTATTCCGAGAGGGTTTAGTGACCTTCACCTGAACGGGTCCACAGAACAAATACGGTTGAAAATCCCTAGTTTAACATAATCTAAATATATAAAATTGCTTGTCCTGACTGACTCACTCATTCATTCACTGATTCATCATCGCCCAGAGCAAACCGCTTAACCTAAAGAGGTGAAATTTGGTACACAGTTAGGGTACGTCATGGAAACGCACACTAAGAAAGGATTTTTCGAAATTCCAACGCGGGGGGGTGAGGG